ATATTCTAAGATAATAATTAATAAATAATAAATAATAAAATAATAAACTAATAATTAATTCGTTCTATAACACTATTATATACAAAAATGAGCTCATTTAACTATAAACTAGGATTATAGAACAATATGGTTTAGTAAATAGTAGGCATACTTTGTCTTCTAAGTAAAGCTCTTGGGCTACTGATTATTTCTAATTATTTTTATACAATGAATATAACTATTCTTTCGAAGTAAAAAATAGCTTTTGTATTAATTTTTTATTAGTAAAATATTACATTCTTTATACGTATGTTACCTGGGCAATTGATTTACATTAGCCAATCAGATAAATGTTAAGTTATATCTGATCTTGGGTATTTAAGAAAGGCAAGAACATGAATGACTTATTTTGATCAAAATAAAATGTTAAAATTTTTTTCATAGTTTTTTCTGACAAGCCCCTCTATAAGTGAAAGCCTCTCTATAAGTGAAAGTCCTGAAGGTCCACTTATAAGCGAAGGTTCCCCTATAAGCAAAGGCCTTTCTATAAGCGAAGGTCTCCCTATAAGTGAAGGCCCAAAGTAAGTTTATTTAAAAATTTATTGAAATACTATTGCTATATACATTAAAAATAATATATTTATATTATAGCACAAGCGAAGGCCTCTTTATAAGTCTCTCATAAGCCCACATGTTCTCCTTATAAGCCCACATGAAAGTCCCCAACGCGAAAGTCCCCTCATAAGCCCACTTGTAAGTTTCTCATAAGCTCATGTGTTTCCCTTATAAGCCCACATAAAAGTTCTCCTGTAAGCCTATGCGAAAGCCTATATTAAAAGTTCCTCCACAAGCCCATGCGAAAGCCCACATGAAAGTTTCCCTATATAGCAAGTTATTTAAAAAATTTTATTGCAACTCCATTGCTATGTATATACTGTATATTAAAAGTATTTATATTATAGTGTTAGATGACGACAACAATGACATGCATGGACAGAGACAGAGATCAAAGCTCTACAAGTGGAAATACACTAGCATGAAACATCTTGTGCAAAATTAAAGAACAGTATAGTAATTCTCAGGGGTTTCTAAACCAGAGGTCTTTGACAGACCTAAAGGACAAGGCGTGTTCAATACTGGAATATAGAATTAAAAATAATAAATCCCGTGGTATATTCCGTATTGTGAAGAAAGTGATGTAATGGTTATTTGAATTTAAATATTAATAATTAATTTTAACATATATATATCATATTTTTAAATTAGCGTTCACAGAAGTTTTTTTTTAAAAAACCAAATCTTACATTGCAGGAACTAATAGTTATTCAAATAAGATTATTTTCATGCTTTGTGTATATAATAATACTGCATAATACGTTGATCAAGAGGAAAATAAACATCCTGATTTATAGTTTATTTGAAAACATGACATCCAGATATTTTTTAAAAATTTTTAATATAATAAAATATATACTACATATATTACAAGTTAATTTAGTTAGGTTTGTTATAAAATTACTATATAATTTGGGTTTAGGAACCAGTACCTGGCCATGATACATTTATGCAAATGCTTTAAAGAAAAGTAATGTATTGGGCTTTTAAACTTATAATACATATCAGGTCCAATTTTTATAAATTTTGATAAATAGAGTTTAAAATATCCGTTTGATAGTTTAAAAGCCCAAAGTCCAATATGGCTATTAAATAGCAAAATTCAATGATCGTAATGATGTTTTTTTTTCTTTTTGTAAAATTGTTTTTAAAAATAGCTTTGAATGATGATAGTTCTAATGAAGAATCTATCCTATTAATTAATAGCTCTTCTAAGGATGAAAATTTTTTTAAAGTAAATAATTCTTTTAATAAAACTGATAAAGAAAAATTTTTTCTTGAAAAAATAATTCTTTTAATGAGAACTTTGAGAATCAATAATATATTTGAAGATAGGTTTTCTGCTGGTTCTTTTTCTCAAGAAAATTCTAGATCTTCATCTGAAATTAAAAGTTCAGAAATATTTCTTACATTATAAAGCAAAACACTCTATGTTACCATCTCAAGACATTCAAAAAATAATTGTATTTGTCAAAAAACAATTCTCAAAGAACTTGGTAAACCAGCATAAAAAATTAAATTAAAGATACTTTATGATATTATATCTAATTTTAGTATACAATCCTGCAAAATCTTCATTTTTTTAAACAGTTCCAAATTCTTTTTTATGGGATACTGACACATATTGTTATATTTTAATTACAGTAGAATTTTCATAAGGTCATATATAATTAAATTCTTTATGACTATACTATTTTATATGTATATAAAACATATTATGAGTATAGTATGCAAGTTTTTATATACTCACATGCAATTTTTGTAGCATACTCCACTACTTTACTAAACTATACTCTACTACTATTCATAATACTAGGTATGAAACACAATACTTGATCGGACTTGGTCAGTCAGCTAGTACATGTTACGATTATAATCCAACATCATAGACAGACATTCGTATGATTGGCAGTTTAAATCAATTTAATTTTACATTATTTATACAGTTTAAAGTACTTTTTTAAAAA